CCCCCCCCCTCCGCCTTGCGCTCGGGAGCCTCTCGGAATAAATATTTCCAGGCTCCCGGCCACGGGCTGGCGAGACCCCGCGGGGTGGCCGCAGGCCAAAGATTATTTATAGCGGTGAGCGGTCGGTGCCCGGAGGCAGTCACTACAGATGGAGGCGGGGGTTTCCTACGTTCTCGGGTGTGGGCCGCGAAGGGACCTGCGGCTCTCTAAGGGCTCTGCAGGGTCGGGTCACGAGCTGAGAGCCGCGATTTTCCTAATGCAATTCGCCCCGGAAATAACTGAAAAAGACTTTCGTCGCCGCCCTGAAGTTTGGAACGGGAGCGCGGAGGAAGGCGCTTCCCGCGGGGCGGGGCAGGGATAGGCGGCATGGCCGTCACAGGTAACTGGATCCCCCGCGGTGGCAGCGCCGGCACTAGCGGAGAAGGGCTAGGCCCGGCTCTGGTCCGGCGCTCCGAGGAGCTGGCTGGGCTGGCCCCTCGCGTGTACCGGAAACCGAGGGGACCTCCGAGAGGTGGGGGCAGGGGCATCCCGCTCACCTTTGACGTAGGCGCTTGCCACCCGACCCCACATTAACCCTCTCCTCCCAGGGCAGCACCAGGTGAGAAGGGGCGGGGCGCCACCTGTTCGATTGTCCTGCCTGCCAGCCAACAAAAGTACGGATTCGGGCTCCAGACACCAGGGAGTTTGCAGCCCTGAAGGGACAGCTAGGCTTCTCTGTTCCTGGGTTGGTTCCCCTTTCTCACTTTCCTTTCTTCCACGGAAAAGTATTCTCCAGCTAGATGTGTACACACCCTAGCACTGCCGAAAAGTGACTCTGCAGAACCCGGAGTACTAATCACTTTTCCACATGCGCCTCCGGCCAGGAGCGCGACAGGGAGCGAGCCCGGAGCTCCCGGGCCTCCAGGAGGGGGGCTGGGCTGCGGGACGCCGCCCCATTCCCAGGTTGGCGGGTCCGGGAGAACAACCCCCACCCTGCCGCCGACCTAGACGGCGCCTACCCCTTTAAGAGAAATCTAGGAGAGGGTGGAGGTGCGACAAAGAGGGGGTAAGGAGCGGGGTTCCCTCCCTCCGTCTGCTATACCCGTCTCCCTCGCTCCGTCTGACTCTCCGTCTCTCCTCTCCCTCTTTTCCTCTGTTTTTCTTTTCTTTCGACACAAAAGTTGGGCTGTGAATTTTCCGAAGTCGCCGCCGCCTCTCTCCACCCCCCCCCCCCCCGCCTCTGATCTGCCTAACTATAATTAAAGTGCGTTTTTTGTGGCATTAATAAAGAGTTATTTGTCCGCCGTTTCCACGGTCTTCACAAAGAGGACTTTCATAGGGGCGGCCGCTCGGGCCGCGAGTCCAATTTATACAAAAATGTTGTATTTTTAGCCCTGGGCTCTGTTTAGATGGCGCACGGTGGAAACGGAGAGCCCTTGGAGGTCCCCCCGTAAAATCTGATAAATGACTCCGAAAAAATAAAGCTGGGATTCAGAGGGCTCCCATTAACCCCTTCAGCGCTCCTCTACATGCATCCCCCCATTTCCCTCCCACCGCGGAGTCTAGGGCCCCAGGGGCAGATTGATGGGGAGGCGTAGGCCTGCTTCCTCCTCCCCATCTTCTGAGCTGGTTGGACGCTGAGCCCCAGGGGCCCTTGTGGGATTTGGAGAAAAGGTCAGGGGGACATTAGGGGGAGCAGAGAAAGGTCAGGAAAAGGGGGGGGGAGCGGTGACAGACCGCGGATTCCGCAGATTGGCTCTAACAAGGCAGAAGCCGATGCCCATGTGAGTTATTTTATTTCCTAAATTCTCGGCCAAAAGCCTAGACCACCGCTGCAGTTAACCCTTTAAGTGTGGTGGTATAGGATAGGCTCTGGGGAACTCTTCACTGGGGGGGTAGTCCCATTGGTTAAAGGGAACCCCACCCCGTTGCACGAACAATCCCAAAAAGAGATGGGCTGATTCCCGGACTTGGGATGACCACAGGGCAGAGGAACCTTGCGTCCGCCTCCCCGCCCTCACTCCGCTGTCACTTGACGCCGGGCGGGGTCCCTGTGTGTGCGAGCGGATTGCACGCGTCTGTTAATTTCAAGCCAAGCTTTCGCACTTCTAAACCCACAGGTCTCTGCGTTCACTTCCCGCCTCACCTCTCCTGTACCGGGGTTGTCCGTTTCAGTACGTCCATCCTTCTAATTCTCATCAGCTTCCACCTGACAAACACTCGTGCACACGCACACGCACACACAACACACCTCCCGCAGTTAACCCAGAGGCGACCCCCTCCCAAAGAAAAAAACCTGGTGTGTATCAAATTGCAAAAGCAATTGTCTAGCACTTGACAAGTTTAATTCTAGGTTAACCTCCCCATTACCTACCTGGGTCCGGCTCCCTACGTGCCCACCCTCATTATCACCAGCTGTGTGGGGTTGTGCGGTGTCCAACAAACACACACACACTCTATGGATCTCACACACACCTCTCCCAAGTTTCTCTCCCTTGCTACACTGTCCCCACCCAATAAGTAAATAGACCCTTTTCCCCGAAAGCAGACAACCCTCAGGTCTCAGGCTTCTCGTTTTCCTTGGGTTACCTCCTTCCTCCACACCACAAAACACACACACTTTCTCTGACCGTGGCCCAGGGCAGTTGTACCTGGCGCAGCTGGCGATGCGGCAGGAACACAGCCCCGGTCTTAAATAGGCAGTTTTAGCTGCCACTGGCCCCGTCCTCCTCTCCCCGACTCAGTTTTTGGGTCCCTATGACACCACCAAAGCCCAGGAAGCCGACAGCTACTGGGGCCTGGAGGGCGAAGGGGAGGCGAAAGCGGACGCCCCACGCACCCCTGCTGAGTCGCCTGCGACTGCAGAAAGTCTGTCTTGGGAGCCCTCTCAGGACCCGGGGATCTCTCTTATCAGCCCTCTGAACCTGCACGCCCGGCGCCAGTGGGCTCAGAACTACGCCGCAGGCGGGCAGGGGAAGCCCGGGCGGCGCAGGCAAAGAGGAGGGAAGGGGCGGGGCGGGGACCAGTGCCTTCAGGTTCCCGGCGCCCCCTGGCAGGCCCGCGGCTCCACCGGCCCAGCGCTCGCCGCTAGCGGACCCTGGAGAGCAGCGGAGTGAGTGCTCCCTTACCTGTAGCAGCCAGTGGCCGGTCTCTCCGATGAGCGGGAAGCCCATGGAGCCCTTGGGGATGGGCAACTTGCAGCTCTTGTCGCGGGTGGCAGCCCAGCGTAGCTGCCACAGCTGCTGCGACACAGCCAGCAGCAGCGTCACCGACACCAGGCACGCGGCGAGGGTGGCCAGAGCCGACACCAGCTCCAAGCCCTCAAAGAGCATGTTGGCGGCCGCTCGGGGGATTGGCTGTGCCGGCAGCGGCGGGGGAGGGGAGGGCCGGACGAGAAGGGACCGGAGCCGCGGGGGAGGGGAGGCTGTGGCCGGGGGTCCTGGCACCTCCAGCCGAAACAGAGAAGGAGGAAGGGGCCAAGGGAAGGGGAGTGGAGGCTGCGAGGGGAGCGGAGAGAGGGAGAAAAAAAAATTGCCTAGAAGAAGAGAGAGGAGACACGAGGCGACTCGGAGTGTAACTTTGTTTGTTTGTTTGTTTGTTTGTTCCCTTATAGCGGACTTAGGGGCTGCTCGAGGGGTGGTGAGATGAAGCCGTGAGTCAAGCTGGTGGATTAGCTCTCCCCGCAACCATCACACTCGGAAAACTTTGGAAAACTTTGTCCAGCGGGAGCCTCTCTCGTAAGCCCCTTCCCCTGCTCGGGGGAAAAAAAAAAGGAAAAAAAAGGGAGACAGAGAGGTAGCACAGAGAAAGTGCGATCAATTGGTCAAAAGTTCCCCCCTCAAATTCCTAGCTAGAAAAAAAAAAGGAAAAAATTCTGAATCCAAAAATTCCAACGAACCCAGTAACTTTGGGGGCGAGGGGAAAGGCTCCCCAGCCGAGGCGAGTGGACAGGCCGAGCCCAGCGTCCCTGGGCTGCCCCGGGTGGCGCGCCCGAGCCCCAGAGCCGCCGCTGCACCCCCAAGGCGGGCACGGCGGGCGAGGCGGCGCGGTGGCCGGAGCGCGGGTGCGGAGCCGGCGGACCGAGGCCGGGATGGGAAGCAGCCGGCGACAGAGCCCAGGGCGGGCGCTGGGGCGGCGGCGGGCGGGAGGGGTGAGGCGGGGTGGGGTTGGGGGAGGAGGTGAAAACCGGAGCTGGGCTATTGTATCAATTAAGAAAAGGCAGTCCGTCCCGGGACGCAGGCTCTCAGCTCTGGAGTTGCTGCTGGGGGAAGAAAGGGGGGGAAAAGAAAAGGAAGGCAAAAGGAATGAAAGGAGGAAAAGCAGGAGGCAAGATTTCAGGGCTGGTGGTTTTAAAAGCTTCTCTCAATGTGAATTTGAGTCCAAAGCCAGGCGATGCGTGTGTTTATATAGAGGCGGGAGGCTGCGCCGTGGGCGCTCCGCCAGCCCCCCCCCTCCCGCGCGCTCACAAAGCCGGAGGCGTGGTGAGAGGCCGGCGGCCTGAGCGTGTGAGCGCCCGCCGCCGCCCGCCCGGAGTACTAATCACTTTTCCACATGCGCCTCCGGCCAGGAGCGCGACAGGGAGCGAGCCCGGAGCTCCCGGGCCTCCAGGAGGGGGGCTGGGCTGCGGGACGCCGCCCCATTCCCAGGTTGGCGGGTCCGGGAGAACANCACGCACCAGAATCTGGGATTCAACCTCCTCCCATCCCAGGCAACTCAATGTCCTGGTATGTGTATGTGTGTGTGTGTGTGTGTGTGTGTGTGTGTGTGTGTGTGTGTGTGTGTGTGTGTATGTGCGCGTGCGTGCGCTCGTGCTTAAACGTCCATTCAAAGACCTCAGATCTCTTTCCCTCATCCTCTTTTTCTGGCTGTAACAGTTTTTGAAAGGATGGGGAGAGCAGTGTGTTTCTGCTCAGTTTATCAAATTACACTCAGTGACAAAGGACTGAAGTGCATTTTCTTGAAGGCTTGACAATTGGGATCCAGGCAGAAAAAAGAAAGGCATGACAGAGAACCCAGAGCTTTTGTCAAAGGTAAAACACCGATATGAAAGGCGGGGGATGTGGTTGGGTGGCTCCAAGTGAATTTGCCTGCATGTTGTTGGTTGTTAAAAACTGCTTCCCCCACCCTCCACTTTAGCTGCAAAAATCCCACGGATCCCAGAAATGGCAAGATTGTTGATTTTTAAAAGGAGCACTGTTCATTTTCACATGGGCTGAGTCAGACAAGCTGGAGCACAGCGTCCTCTCCCTCTAGGGCTCCCCTCCCAGCCCCCCATGCCAGGGAAGCTTTCTCAGAGAGGTGCTCACAGGGGCCCAGTGCCCTCTGTACCCCCACCCTCATCTTGGCCTGTGCAGCCAGCTTCTTAAGGATCTGGTTGGGATAGGGACGGTAGGCTTTTTTCTGACAATCAAAGTTGTGTCCTGCACCTGAATTCTGAGGATTGTTAGATGGAGAAGGATGGACTGTCAGGGCACCTTGGGGCCTGAGGCAGAGGACATGGGGGCACTGGACTGCTTGTCCCAAAGGTTTCCACTCTTTGGGGAGTGGGGGGGAAGGCAGCAATGCAAGTCACCACCTTCAAATGCCTGGCAGGAAAAATATCCCCTTTTCCAGAGCTTGAAGACAGTGCCTGAAACAAGCCCACCCTCTACGCTGCCTTCCCATTCCTGGCTTTGTTTAGAAGTCACCAGCAGGCAGGTGAGCCGACTGACCAGCAGCCTTGCCCAGAGTGCTCAGAGAGCAGAGCTAACCTCTCCACAGCAGCCCCAACAACACAATAGTGTGAGGTAACACTGTTTTTAGATACCAGACTTGCATACTACGTTTTGTACTCTCTTGCCTCCTCTTCCTTCTCTCCGGCGTCTCACTGAGCCGGGCACCTACAGACGGACGAGATGACACACACACACACACACACACACACACACACACACGGTGCGCTCTCGCACGATGCCCGCTTGGCTGCTAGGCTACTTCCCTTCCTCTTTTCCTCCCTCCCAGCTCCCCGGCCCCCTCCTCCCTCCACGGGCAGTCCCGCGTGGGCCGTCTCCCAGCAGCTGAAGGCTCCGCGGGACCGTGGCTTGACTAAGGGGCGCCCAAACCCCTGAACCTGTGCTCAGGATCCCCAACTTCTATCCCGCGGAACCCTGCCGGCTCCTATCTCCAGGGACCCCTCCATCCTCGCATTTACCTCTCCCAGTCTCTCCGTCCCGGGTCCGTATACCCACAGACCTCCGATGCCAAGGTCTCCCCCGCCCCCCCACCCATATGTCTCTTACCCTACAAGACCCCGATGTTTCCCTCTCCCCGTCCGCTTCCCGGGCCGCCAACACTGCAATCCCTCCTTTCAGACACCTCGAGACCCCCTAACTTTGTAGCCCACCTCCGCCCCCCGCAGCGCCGGAGGAACCCCGATGCTGGTCCCGTTGAGTGTCCCGCGCCAGGGACAAATGCGGCGGCCCCGGCCTCTGGAGGCGGGAGGAGACGGGTACAAACGTTCATTGATACAAATGAGTAAATAAACATGCCGGGTGAGCGCGGCCACCTTCTCCCAGCCAGCCGCAGAGGGCCCGGCGCGCATGCCTGTGCGAGGTGTGCGTGTGGCCCGGGGCCGCACCTGTGTGTGCGCGCGTCCCTGGGTTGGCCCGACGTCTGGGGAGCTGTATGGTGTGTCTGACGGTTTATGTGCTCTCTGCTGTGTGTCTGTGCATCCGTCTGTCATCTGGCCTCTCTTCTGGAGTGTCTGTTGATACATGGAGCTGTGCGTGCCAACCCCGCCGTGGTCTAGCTTAGTGCCCGGCTCGCCCTCTCCCGTGCGTCCTGTTTCCCCAACCCCCAAGTCTCTGTCGTTCACTCTCGCACTCCAAGAGCAGATGACTTGCTATTCCACGTTCAGTTTAGGATAGTGTGTGTAAGCGAAACTAGAATTTCCTTTGAACACCTCCCCTGCACCCAGTACGAGTTCTATTTTAGAGTTCACCAGACGAGAACGTGTGTGAGCCTCTAAGGTACGAGATAAGTGCTGTTCCTCCCTGTGTGAGCGCTTCCGAGGCTGATGTGGCGATCAGAGATTTAAAAGCTGGTCTCTGGCTTCTTCTAGCACTGGGTCATCTCGACTCTCACTCTCTGCCCTGGAACCCCACCTGGTGGACAGTTGTAGTACTACAGATTTAGGGGGAACCCCTTCCCTCAATCTCCTTTCATAGTGGGAGATCCCCCCTAGAGGACCTGCTTGTAGGCTCACAAAGGGTTCAGACTTCCACCCCAGGAGGCTTGGGGCCCAGACACGCACAAAGGCCTTGTCAAGCCACTGTGGACCCAGAAATAGAGAGCTAGGGCACACCCTCACAAGGGGAACTTTCACTGGACAGTCAACTCTGGACTGGACACCCAGGACTGGTGAGGCCAACACCACTCATCTTCCCATCTAGGGATGAAGCTGGGTAAAAATGGGGCTTGGAGAGATTATTGAGGCTCCACTGTTTTGAAGAGCCCCAAGAATCCAGCCTGCCTCCCCTCCCCCGCCCAGAACTGGCTCTGGCCCTGAGGTGGTGAAATGGACAAGATATGACCCTGGGGAACCCACCCATGGAGACATCCATCTCTGAAAGGATGGACACACAGCCTTATAGAGATGCAAATAGGTGCACAGGCAAATAGTGAGCACACACGCGCGCACGCGCACACACACACACACACACACACACACACACACAGGAAGGCACATACACTTGGAGAATCATTGTCAACAAATTCAAGTAACACCCACTTCCCAGCCACCAACTCCCAGAGTCCACAAGAGGTAGGTGCTCTGTGGGATCACAGTCCCAGAAGTCTCCCTAAACCCATTGTCTTCCCCTCCCTCACCCCTATATCAAGGGGATGGCTTTTGTACACTTTCATCTTCTCCTCCTGTCCAGGTGTAGAGTGGGATATGGGAGGGGGCACGAGAAAGTCATTCTGACTTCTTATTGCCCAGCCACCAAGTAGGGTCCTGGGGAGTGTCCACAGACAGCATGGCCCCACAGCATTCGTCGCTGGATTTCCTAATTGGAACCATCGCTCTGCTCAAGTCCCAAAGAGTACTTAGGAAAAAAAACAGAGGGAAAGCCATGGTATTATAACACTCTCAGACTTGCCAGAGATGCTGGAGAGAGGAACAGGCATGTTAGGAGGGGACTAGACAGCAAGGGATTAGCAACCATCTTTGCCAGTCAGAGTCTATTAGAGAACATTCTTTCGTCCGTGTCAGATGGACTGCTGACCCTGGCCCCAAACTGAGCCCTTCTCTAGTCCTCAGTCTCACCCGTAACCCTGACCCCTGAGCCTACTCCCAGACTGACCCTTAATCCTGGTCACAGATTGACCCTATCCCTGACCTTTGACTGACCCCTAGTCCCATCAAGCATCAGCCAACCTCACCTTGGGTCAAAGGAGTGTGGCTTGCCCCTTGTGGACTGCCGCAAAGGTGGCTCTGGGAGCAGGAGTGTGCTGCAATTCAGAATATTATTCTCACTCTGGCCTGAGAATCATCTGCCCATTCCCCAATGAGCGTCCATCCCTCTCCCCCCAGGGCTGGCTGTAACTAATATCCCAGAAGCTCCTGGATACCCTCTGCCTACAACCCTCTTCCAGAGGGGCCCAGGGCACACCCCAGGGCTGCAACTCTTGCCTGCGGCACTCGGAAGCCTTGGCTCACAGCTTGCCTTCCATGCCCTATAGCTCTTCAGTCACCTGCAATCAGTCAGAACAGCCTGGGGATGAGTCGTGGGCATGCTGGTTCAAAGAGAGCTATGCATGGATGAACTCTGCAAAGCTTGGTAGAAGGGGCTGGGATAGTATGGAGGACAGGCCTCAGGCACTCTAGGAATATGCAGACAATGGGTAAGGTACAGCCTCTGCACCCTCCTCCTGAGCTCAGAAAACGCCCATCCACAGGAGCAAATCTGCTTCAAGTCCTGCTCCTCACTGAGGCACAACGCTCTCCAGGAGCGTCCTGGACTTTCTATGCCCAAAGGAATGAAGACATTGCATGTTCCAAATTCCTTGCATGTGTGCAGTCTTATGGAGCCAACAGATCTCTTCTATAGCTACTATTTTATTTCATCTCCACAGCAGCCCCAACAACACAATAGTGTGAGGTAACACTGTTTTTAGATACCAGACTTGCATACTACGTTTTGTACTGATGAGAAAACTGAGGCCCAGAGTCCCCCTCCCCACTTCCATTGTATTGTCCTAGTCCAGCTCCCCCAAAGCAAGCACGCATGAGACATGAGATCCTGTCTGACGTGGCAGCTGCCCTTTTGTTCAACGTCTATGCTTCTGACCGTAAAAGTTGACAACAGAGGAGATTGTCCATTTTACACTCAATTTTGCATAATTTGGGCCCTGAATTTTTTAAATTGATGCTGATTTACTTTCTTTTCTCTAAAACTACCTCTGCTTCCTCCAACCAGAGCCAAATGCAAAAGGGAAAAAAGCACAGGATAACA